CTCTACTCAAACACCTTTACATCCACTCACAGATCAGTCTCTATCTTCAAGTATGAAGATGACACAACAATAATTGGACTCATCACTAACAGTAATAAACATCATTATCATGAACATGTAACCCAAGTAGTTACCTGGTGCCAAAATAACAAAAAACAGCTTAACACATCAAAAACACAGGAACTTATAGTTGATTTTTCTCGTTCACCCACTCACAAGACACCCATCTCCATTTCCACCTGTCCCATAACATCACTGATTCATTTAAATTCCTAGGTACACACATCAGTAATATACTCAAATGGAAACAGCACTCAGACCACATTTATAAAAAAGCCAATAAACGATTATTTTTCTCATACAATTAAAAAAATTCAGCGTTAGGCATAACATTCTCATTCAGTTTTACACCGCCATTATTCAAAGCATATTCACTTCATCTATAATAGTCTGGTATGGAAATTTGGATGCTCATTCACGCAAAAAACTACAATGTATAATAGCTAAATCATCAAAAATTACAGGCTGTGCCCTTCCATCCATTGACACATTGTATCATAGACGCATTACACAACGAGCAAYAAAGATCATTCCTGACCCCGCTCATCCTGCATATCATCTGTTCACACTTTTGTCTTCTGGGAGACGCTACAGGTCTTTATCAACAAAATCAGTCAGATTCAAAAACTGTTTTTTCCCCAACTGCTGTCCGGTCACTAAACCAGGGCCCGTATTTATCAAACTTYTTAGAGTGGATTAATGCTGAAAATTTCTTATGCTATGTTCACAACGAATGCCTTTTGAGCTGCAAAAAAGTGCCCAACGCCTCCAGTTGGACGCACTATGTTCAGACCGGGACAGACGCATGTCTGAAGAGGGAGGAGTGTCTTGGTTTTTATTTCGGTCCGTCTGTGGCGGATGAAATAAAGATAAAATAAAGAAAATGGCTTTGCWTTATTTACTAAAGAGCAAGCGAACTTTGCGCACACCAGATGATTAATTCATCAGATGGTTTATTTGGTTAGTTTCACCAYTCCAGGAGCTGMGAGCTGACGGACTATTTTTTGTCCTGAGCCCAGTTTAACACCATGGTCAGTTTAACCCACACCGGTGCTGATATCTCCAGCCAGAACATCAACTACAGATGGTCCATTTCAGCTAAAGAGCTCCTGTCCGTCTGTTTCGGTTTAGTGGGCAACATTCAGGAAACCGTCATGGAAAAACGAGTCTCTGATTGGTTGTCAAGACGCGTCGAGCAGCAAAAGATCAGATTTTTTAACTCGGGCGTCGGCTGCTTTCGCCACATTGCGTGCACAGAAAACGCTCTGCCACACATTCCACGTTCTTTGCGCGCCACGCTAAACCAACTTGATGCGCCGCGAGGTCCTTAGAGGCGCGTCCACCACAGACTTTGCAAACTGGCTGCTCCTGCAGCTCAAAACGGATGTTGGGCGGATGTGGCAGAGTGGTTAGGGGAGTCGCACTGGAACCGGAAGGTCGCCGGTTCCATCCCCAGTCCAGCCATTTCAGTCGTTGTGTCCTTGGGCAAGAC